ACGAGTATTGGTTCACACAGAAAGGGGTGTGTAGCACCTAATGTAGTTAGAAAAGGGATAAGTTTTCAGCCCAGGAAATTATTATATCTAAAATAGAGTCAGCAGGCTTCAGAGGCAAATTGAGGACAATTACCTGCCTTAGCTGCCTGGCAAACTGTCCAAGAGAAACAGTGTGGATGGGGGAGAGAAGGTCTTGCAAGGTGGTGTGAGAGGAGTGCTGTCAGTGCTGTAACACAGTGACAGGCTAACAAAGTTAGCAGCTGAGATGCACAAATGCTTCAACTGGGGGAAAGGAGGAAAGTAGCGCCCAGGAGAAGGGCAAAGCATGTGCCCAGGGTGTTCCTGAGCAGTAATTAACTATGTTATGTTGCCTTCTCATTTTTATTGCATAACTATGCTTGTAATTCTTGCCTGATGAAGGCAGAATACCTTCCTGGCAGGCAGGAAGGTATTCAGGTATTCCTTCCCTGGGGGCATGAGCACCTTCAAAAGTTGCTGCTGAGCCATCCCAAGTGCCTGAGGCCTCAGGGGGTGTCTGGGGAGAGCAGGTTCTTGCTGGTCGTAGAAGGCTGCTGGGGGTTCACGTGTATTGGGAGCACACCTGAAGGCAGAGGGAATGTGGGACAGCCGTAACGCTGCCTGCAAATTGGGAAGTTGTTTGTGGCACATTTCCACTGTCATTCTTTCTGCTCCTGCCTTCCCAGGTGCACTGGACCAAAGAGGAGAATTACATGTTCAGGCTGTCAGCGTTCCGGGATCCTCTGTGGAAGTGGCTCCAGGAGAACCCACACGCCATCTCCCCTGACCCTTTCTACCAGCGTGTGCTGCGCTGGCTGGAAGAGGACTTGCCAGACTTGTCGGTCTCTCGGGAGAGCAGCCGGCTGCAGTGGGGTATCCCTGTCCCTGGTGACCCAACACAAACTATTTACGTGTGGGTAGATGCCCTGGTGAACTACCTGAGCGTGGTGGGCTACCCCACAGCACATGGGGAGTGGTGGCCGGCTGCACACCACGTTGTGGGCAAGGACATTCTCAAGTTCCATGCTGTTTACTGGCCAGCTCTGCTGATGGCAGCAGGGCTGCAGCCCCCTGAGCAGATCCTTGTGCACTCCCACTGGACTGTCCGCGGGCAGAAGATGTCCAAAAGCCTGGGCAACATGGTTGACCCCTTCTCCTGTATGGAACAGTACACTGTGGATGGGTTTCGGTACTTCCTGCTAAGACAGGGTGTGCCTGAGCGGGACTGTGATTACTACCATGAGAAGGTACTTAAGGTGGTGAATTCAGAACTGGCAGATGCACTTGGGGGGCTTCTGAATCGGTCCACAGCCCTCAGCATTAACCCCAGCAACACCTACCCTTGTTTCTCAGAGTCTTGTTTTCCAAAGGTCTCGGATTCCAGGGAGGCAACAGGCACGGGCAGAGTTTCTGCTGAAGACTACGAGCTCCTGACATCCGTGGCTTCTCTGCCTCTGCAGGTGGCTGGGTACTTTGAGGGTTTCCAGATCTACAAGGCTTTAGAATGTATCACCCTGTGTGTAAGGCAGACCAACAGTTTCTTCCAGAGGCACAGGCCGTGGAAACTTGACCGGAAAGACCCTGCTGAGCAGCTCTGGCTTGACACCATCATCCACGTCACTCTGGAATGCCTGCGCATCTTTGGGACTCTACTGCAGCCCGTGATCCCACACACTGCGGACAAGCTGCTGTCCAGGCTGGCTGTTGAGCCACAAGAGAGAGCTCTCTCCAGTTTGACGTTTCTACCTCGCTACAGTGGGAAGCCATGTCCCTTTGAGGGGAGGCAGCTTGGACCTGATACTGGCGTCTTATTTCACAGACTAGAGAAGTCAAGGGAGCATCAGAGAGAAACCAAGAGGCCGTAGTCCCTGGCGCAGAGCTCCTGCAAATAAAAACCTCCGGGAATTCCAGAGAATGTTGTCTTTCTTAAAGCACGTTCCTCCCATCTCTTGGAGGGGTATGAAATGGATGAGGGGAAACCAGAACGATGCAGGGCTGTGCTGCGCTGCCCAGGCGACCGGCTCAGGCCTCTGCCCGCCACGGGAGGGCGGGTGACGGGTAGGGTGAGCAGCTCAGGGCTAGAGGAGGACTGCCCGGAAGCGAACACGCACCCGGCCGCCCCGGGCCTGGCGGGGTTCTGGTGTGCCAGATATGGCATGGGGGGTGGAGCCCTGCCATATATGGTTCAAGGGGGCGGGACAGCGAGGTGCCGTACATGGTGTGGGGGCGTGGCCGTGCTGTGCCGTGGCCGGTACGCGGGGCGGGGCCTTGCCGGTGCCGTCGCCGGTGCGTGGGGTCGTGTCTTGCCGTAGCTGTTGCGTGGGGCGGGGCAGCACCGTGCCGTGCCAGTGCGTGGGGCCGAGCTGTGCCGCAGCCGGTGCGTGGGGCGGCGCGGCCGCATGAGACGGTGAAGCGGAGGCGCGGGATGGCGGCGGGGGTCGGTGGGCGGCCGCCGGGCCCCGACTCCTCTCTGGAGCCGTACGTGCAGACCCGCATCTTCAAGATCATTGTGATCGGAGACTCGAACGTGGGCAAGACGTGCCTGACCTTCCGGTTCTGCGGGGGCACCTTCCCCGGGCAGACCGAGGCCACCATCGGTGTGGACTTCCGCGAGAAGACGGTGGAGATCGAGGGGGAGCGCATCAAGGTGGGCACGGCAGCGCCGGCCAGTCCCTACCCCATCCCCTGCCCCATCGCTTGTCCCATCCCCTGTCCTGGGCCCTGCCCCAGGTGCTGAACACCTCCTGGGGGCTTTTCCATCCCCAGCCAAGCTCTGAGGAGTGGAGCAGGGATGGTTTCTCCTCCCCGTGCTGCAGAGATGCTTTCCGAGCCCATCTCTGTTGCCTTGTCACTGCCTATGGCGTTTGCTTGAGCTGGCAGCTCAAGATGGCTCAGGGTGCACAGCGGCCGTCTTGCCCTCCGGCCCCAGAGTGCCCTGAGAGTTCTTGTGCCATGGGAGAGGTGGAGCCAAGGATGAGCTGTGCAGAAACCAGTGTGGTTTCAGGAGCAGATGGCTGTGGACTGCCAGGCCAGGAGACAGTGGGCTCCGCAGCTGCGGTATTAATGCTGCAGGTGGCTCTTGGCGAGCACGGGGAGGGTGTCATCTCAACAGCATTAGAATACGCTGAATTCATGGATTCCCAGCCTGATTTGGTTGGCAGGGACCTTAAAGCTCATCCAGCTCCAGCCACGAGCAGGGACACCTTCCACTAGACCACACTGCTCCAAGCTCCATCCAACCTGGAAGTGCATCCTTCACTTCTGGTGATACTGTGTAGTTCAGCCAAGGGTACTACTCACTGCCTTCATTGCTGGGTCACACTGCTGGTTCACGTCCAACCTGGTGTCCATCAGGACCCCCAGGTCCTGTCTTGCAAAGCCACTTCCAAGCTGGGTGCTCCCCAGCATGTCCTGGGGCATGGAGTTGTTCTTCCCCAGGACAGGAGTTGGCAGTTCTCTGTTGAACTTCATGAGGGTGCTGTTAGTGCATTTCTCCAGGCTTTTGAGGTCCCTTTAGACAGCAGCATGACTGTCTCTCCTCTTAGCCATGCAGAGCTCCATGCCCTCCTGCTGGTCTCACACAAAAGGTGACTCCCCATCATCTTTGCCCTAACTCCTCTATACAGACCTCTGTGTAATTGTTGGGGTTCTCTTCAATGGCATAGGGTTAGGTGGAAGAATGTCCTGATTTGGCTCAAGAATGTTTGTGAGAAGTACTTTGTGCAATTTTTCTGTGGTGGGGATGGTTGGCCAAGTGTATTGGGAAAAGGCTGAGAAGCAGGGAGCACTGCTTCCTGAATCATAGAATCCCAGACTGGTTTGGGGTAAAGGGACCTTAAAGCTCCTCCAGTTCCAACCCCTGTCACGGGCAGGGACCCCTTCCACTAGAGCAGCTTGCTCCAAGCCCGTGTCCAACCTGGCCTTGAACACTGCCAGGGATGGGGCAGCCACAGCTTCTCTGGGCACCCTGTGCCAGCGCCTCAGCACCTTCACAGGGAAGAGCTTCTGCCTAAGAGCTCATCTCAGTCTCCCCTCTGGCAGGTTAAAGCCATTCCCCTTGGCCTGTCCCTATAGCGCCTTGTAAATGCAAGTGCTGAGGGATCTCTCTTACTAGATGAGCTGTGCTTGCTTGGTGGAATTACATAAGCATGTTCCCTGTCACATACAGCCTTGGGCACTGTCAGTGTAGGACAAAAGCTTGTGTAACTCATCCACTGATCCTGGTTCATGTGGTAAACTGCCTCTCCCTGCAAGGCTCACCGCCTGCGCTTCCTCAGGCTGAGGTGCTGTGGTTGGAAGGGCCGGTGGGAAGCAATCCCACATCTTCCTGCAGGGAGCTTGGTGAGCAGCCTGCCTCGGGGCGACACGCAGCGCTCCCGCAGCCTTCCTTCTCTCCTGCTTTGCTTCCCAGGTACAAGTGTGGGACACAGCTGGCCAGGAGAGGTTTCGGAAGAGCATGGTGGAGCACTACTACCGCAATGTGCATGCTGTCGTCTTTGTTTATGATGTCACAAAGATGTCGTCCTTCACCAACCTCAAGACATGGATTGAGGAGTGCAATGGGCATGCGGTGTCCCCCACTGTCCCTAGGGTGCTCGTTGGGAACAAGTGTGACTTGAAAGACCTGATCCAAGTGCCATCCAGCATGGCCCTCAAATTCGCCGACGCTCACAATATGCTTTTGTTTGAGACCTCGGCCAAGGACCCTAAGGAGAGCCAGAACGTGGATGCGATCTTCATGTGCCTGGCCTGCCGGCTGAAGGCGCAGCGCTCGCCGCCCTGCCGGGACCTGGAGGGCTGGTCGGGCCAGGCCCGCAGGCTGGAGCCAGCGCACACCAGCAGCAGTAAAACCTGCCCGTGCTGAGCGGGACGGGCGGCACGGCCCCGGTCCCGGCCCCGGTCCCGTTCATCCCAATAAAGTCTCTGCGGCTCCAGGCAACTCTGGGTCTTGCTTTGCGCGGCTCGGCAGCGATAGGGCTCGGCTGCGCTCGGCTGCGCTCGGCTCCGGCTCGGCTGCGCGCATGCGCAGTGTGCGGTGCCGCCGCCATGAAGTAGGTGTGCGGGGCGCGGAGGGGGGAAGGGGGGAGAAGGTGCGCGGCCTGGTCCCGGTCCCGGTCCCCGTCCCCGTCCCCGTCCCCGTCCCCGTCCCCGAGCTGAATGTGCCCCCCGCCTTCAGCCCCCTGACGAAGGTGAAGCTGATCAACGAGCTAAACGCGCGGGAGGCGGAGCTGGGCGTGCAGGAGGCGGTCTCGTGGCACGCGGAGTACAAGGACAGCGCCTGGATCTTCATCGGTACGGCCGAGGAGGGCTGGGGCTGGGGGGTCCGGGTCCGGGCCAGGGCCTACGCAGTGCCCGTGTCCCGTTCCTCCCTGCCTCTTTCCCCGCAGGCGGGCTGCACTACGAGCTGACAGAGGGCGATGTCATCTGCGTGTTCTCGCAGTAAGTGCGCAGCCCCCAGGCCCGCCACGCCCCTGCCGCTGCCTCGGGTGCTCAGGAGTGTGTTGCAGGTACGGGGAGGTCGTCAACATCAACCTGGTGAGGGATAAGAAGACCGGAAAGTCCAAAGGCTTCTGCTTTCTGTGCTATGAGGACCAGAGGAGCACCATCCTCGCTGTTGATAACTTCAATGGGATCAAGGTGAGGGAGCAGCCTGGGAAGCAGGTCTGTCTGTGTGTCACCCTCGTGTGGCTCCTGTAATGCTGCCTCACATCAGCCAGGAGCCCTCGCCACCCACAGCGTGTGGGGAGCTGGGCTGTGCCCTCGCTAACAGCAGGACTCCCCTCGTAGATCAAAGGAAGGACAATTCGAGTGGACCATGTGGCCAATTATCGGCCTCCCCAGGACTCTGATGACTTGGATGATGTTACAAAAAACCTCCATGCAAAGGGTTGCGGAGTTAAAACGCCACCTCATACGTCCTCTGATTCCCTGTCAGAAGATGATGGTGCGCCTGTAAAAAAGCCAAAAGGTGAGGTGTGCTCCTGCAGCCCTGACCCCCAGTGGGAGCCTCTGCACAGAGCCCTTGGCCTTGAGAGGGCCCTTTCCTCAGGGAAGCACCGAGGGTGGGTGGACTCTTGAAAAGAGGAGGGGGGGGCTGTGTTTTGGGAAGCATGGAGAGGGAAGGCTTAGGAAGAGCACCGCTTCACATCTGGATGCTGCTGCTGTATGAGTGGAGTGCTGCAGGTGGATGGGATGGCCATTGTGGCCTGTGTGAGACAACCTAATTGAACAGAACATAAAGCAGCAGATCTGGAGAAGCTTCTGTGGCTGGAAGCTGAAGTCAAAGGCGGCGGGTGGAGTGTGGACTGGGTGGACTTTAAAGGTTCTTTCTAGCCCCAAGTGCACCTAAAAATGCAGCACAAGGTAAACCCAACCGAGCGCCTGAATACCTCCTGTTCTTAGGGGCTGCAGCAGGTTTTGTGAAATGTAGAGTACCTCCACAGTGACTTGAACGAATGTAAAGGACCAGCCCATGCAGCTGCAGTGATGCATTTTTAGCAGCTGTTGGGTTTATTTTTGATCCATGCAACAGAGATCTTGGAAAAGTTACCCTAGCTGGAGCAAGCGGGGTGCCAGAAGCAGGGACTTGTAGGAGCTGCTTAATGTGGCTTGCTAGTGATTGTTGGGCAGCATGCACCTGTGATTACAGCAAGGACACAACCTGGTGAGCACTAAAGAAGGAATTAGGATGGCTGAGGCTGGAGGAGAGAAGCATCAAGGTTGGAACTGGAATGGGATCACTAAGGGGGATGAAGGCTGCGTAGCTTGGAGGGGGAGAGCTTAAATGGGAGGGAGCTGGAGAGTCAGAGTGGTGCCTGTGGGACTGTCCATCCCAGACACAAACCGTGTATTGCAGAGAGCAGAGAGGAGTGGCCGCAGGCGAGCTCCCAGCCTGGGAAGAGAGCGCCATCTGTGGAGGAGGCACATCCCAGGATCAAGATTAAGAAGGAGAAGGAGGACCCAGCCTACGAGCGCTACGCCAGCGGGAGCCAGCAGCCCTGGAGGGGCTCCGAGAGGAAGCCTGCAAGCAGAACACAACGGGAAGAGGATGAGCGGAGGCACCAGAGGCCCCTGGAGAGGAGAGGGGAGAGGAGCTGCCAGGAGCAGCGGGGCCAAGGCGGGTTGTGGGAAGGCAGGCGGGAGGAGGCTGGCAGGAGGGGTGAGTGTTTCGGTAGCCGCCGGGGAGAATGTCCTGAGGGTGGCCGGGCCCGGGAGCGCAGCCCCCGGGAGCTCTGGCACCGGGAGCGCAGCTCCACCAGGGGCTCCAGCCGCTGCTGACACCCCAAAACCTGCTTGGAGCCTCCCCAGGGACCTCCAGCCGCTTCCACTTGGGTTCCTGTTCCCTCCTGGGCCAGGGCTCTCCTCACCACTGTGGTGTGGACCAGGACATTCCTTAGTTGCTGTCTGGCCCTTCCTGCAGCCATGGACTCTCATCAGGATGCTGCACTGCATTGTGGAGGTGGTCCCTGGGAGCAGCAGCAGCATCCCATTCCCAGAATACCTGGGTCTATAGAGGTGTCCCCCTTGTGCACTGTTGGGAGAGACAGGCTGGTACCTTGTTGGCCTCATATGCCGGGACTGGGTCCAGCACTGTCCAGCACCATGCCTGGATCCTGTGCTGCATCCCCAGGGCTGCACTGCTGCAGTGGAGCTGTTTACTGTTGGTTTGCATTTTGGTTTAAATGACTTTTATTAAAATGTTGCCTGTTAACTCAGCGGTCACCTTGGAGCAGCATTTGTTTCCTGGTGTCATGGCTGGGAGATGCTGACACGGTATGCAGTGATGGGGGGATGTTCATAAAATCATAGCGTGGTTTGGGTTAAAGGGACCTTAAAGCTCCTCCAGTTCCACCCCCCTGCCACGGGCAGGGACCCCTTCCACTAGAGCAGCTTGCTCCAAGCCCCTGTGTCCAACCTGGCCTTGAGCACTGCCAGGGATGGGGCAGCCACAGCTTCTCTGGGCACCCTGTGCCAGCGCCTCAGCACCCTCACAGGGAAGAGCTTCTGCCTAAGAGCTCATCTCAGTCTCCCCTCGGGCAGGTTAAAGCCATTCCCCTTGGCCTGTCCCTACCGGCCCTCATCCAAAGCCCCTCTCCAGGTTTCCTGCAGCCCCATCAGGCACTGGAGCTGCTCTCAGGTCTCCCCTTCAGGAGCCTTCTCTTCTCCAGGCTGACCCAGCCCAGCTCTCTCAGCCTCGCTTCGGAGCGAGGGGGCTGTAGCCGCACTTCGTTGGTCCCAGAAATACCCGCTCCGCCCGCATGACTGCCGGCCGGGGGAGCGGGGCGGATGGAGCTTAGCGCAGCCCGCGCTTCCGGATCCGGTGGCTCCGGGCTCCGCCCGCGCCGCCGCTCTCCGCCATGCCATGTCCGCGCTGAGCTGGAAACCCTTCGTGTACGGCGGGCTCGCCTCTATCGTGGCCGAGTTCGGTGAGGCGGGGGCCGGGCCGGGGAGGGCCGGAGCGGGCGGGCGGGCCGCGGCCGCTGACAGGCGCTGTCCCCGCAGGCACGTTCCCTGTGGACCTCACCAAGACGCGCCTGCAGGTGCAGGGCCAGAGCGCCGATGCGCGGTTCCGCGAGGTCCGGTACCGGGGCATGTTCCACGCCCTCTTCCGCATCTGCCGGGAGGAGGGCGGCCGCGCTCTCTACTCAGGGTAAGCGCCGGGGGACGGGAGCCACCGGACCGGGAAGCCCTCACCCGCCCGGGGAACGTCCTTCCGGACCCAGGAATCCCGCCCGGCCCGGGCCCGGCCCGCCCCAGCCCTGCGCCTGTTCTGCCTGTCCCGGCCCCCCCGTCCCACTTCGGGAATCCTCTTTCATCCCGGTTTGGGCCCCCCCTGCCCGTCCCCGGGGCCAGGCAGCGGTGCTGCTGTGCCTCCTGGAGACTCCCGGTCTTCCCGAGATACAGAGCAGGGAATTGTGTGCCAAGGCCAAGGCTCCCGTGGGTGCTGGGCTCCCGTGCTGTAGGTATGGGGGCATCTGAGATGCTTCCAGGTCAGCCAGAGTTACCCTGTGTTCCTGGGGTTGTTATTACAGGCTCCCGGGGTTGTTATCCTGTGCTTCCTGTTCTGCTGCGCTGCTGGGGGAGGTGGGGTGTGTGTGGTCTAGGCTGTGCCCCTTGGTGGTGATGGGGAGTGCTCCATGCTGGGCCCGCAGGGAGAACCAACCCAGTGTGTTGTCTGTCCCCCCAGGATCGCCCCTGCCCTGCTAAGACAGGCATCCTATGGCACCATAAAGATCGGCATCTACCAGAGCTTGAAGCGGCTCTTTGTGGATCGCATGGAAGGTTCGTGTGGGTGAGCGTGGCACCTTCAGCCTCACCAAGGTGCCCTGCGAGGTCTTGTACTCTCTGTGCAGTCCAGTTTTCCTCATTCCTTTCTCTGTCCTTCCTAGCTATGATTCCCACAGGAACAGAGTTATTGCTACTGTGTTGTTACTCTGTGCTGTGGTTCTGTTTGTGGGGTAATAGCCAGGATGGGCTTCCACACAGGCAGGAATCTGGGTGTGCTTGGTGCTGCCCACAGCCCCAGCCAGCCCCCTCCCTGCTCCCCCCACCCTCCCAGCTCTTTTCTTTCCCCAGCCTTTATTTCTGCTTTGCAGAGCCAGACCCAAAGGTATTGTGGCCCCAGGCTCATCTCTTTTAGGTTTAGTCTCGGGGAAGGCATACAGCCATCTGTACATCAGTTGTTACGTGGGTTGAAAGCTCCAGCAGTGAGTCCCTGCAATTTTCCTGCTGGAGCCTGTGAGCCCGTGTGCTTGAATGTGGCACATCCAGATAGTTGTACTGTCCGGCTCTGTAGCCATGGCTCCAGCTGGGATACAGCCAATGCTCCTGACCGAGCACCTCTGGGAATGGGGAGGTGGTTCCCATCAAGCAGAGCACCAGGAGCCTGGTACATGTTCACTGAAGGAGCACCACGATGTGCATGTGCACTTTTAATCCCTGGTGTGACACGGGTGAATCCCGTCATAGCATCATCGAATAGTTAGGGTTGGAAAGCACCTTAAGATCATCCAGTTCCAACGCCCCTGCCATGGGCAGGAGCACCTCCCACTAAACCATGGCACCCAAGGCTCTGTCCAACCTGGCCTTGAACACCACCAGGGATGGAGCATTCCCAGCTTCCCTGGGCAACCCATTCCAGTGCCTCACCACCCCAACAGTAAAGAATTTCTTCCTTATATCCAATCTAAACTTCCCCTGTTTTAACCCATTACTCCTTGTCCTGTCACTATAGTCCCTAATGAACAGTCCCATCCCCAGCATCCCTGTAGCCCCCCTTCAGATACTGGAAGGCTGCTCTGAGGTCTCCATGCAGCCTTCTCTTCTCCAGGCTGAACAGCCCCAATGTGCTCAGGCTGTTTTCGTACGGGAGGTGCTCCAGTCCCCTGAGCATCCTTGTGGCCTCCTCTGGACTTGTTCCAACAGTTCCATGTCCTTTTTATGTTGAGGACACCAGAACTGCACACAATGCTCCAGGTGAGGTCTCACGAGAGCAGAGCAGAGGGGCAGGATCACCTCCTTCGATGTGCTGGTCACGCTCCTTTTGATGCAGCCCAGGATACGGTTGCTTTCTGGGCTGCAAGCGCACACTGAAGCTGGCTCATGTTCATTTTCTCATCCACCAACACCCCCAAGTCCTTCTCTGCAGGGCTGCTCTGAATCTCTTCTCTGCCCAACCTGTAGCTGTGCCTGGGATTGCTCCGACCCAAGTGCAGGACTCTGCACTTGTCATGGTTAAGCCCCATGAGGTTGGCATCAGCCCACCTCACAAGCGTGTCAAGGTCCCTCTGGATGCCATTCCTTCCCTCCAGGGTATCAACCGAACCACACAGCTTGGTGTCATGGGCAAACTTGCTGAGGGCGCGCTCAATCCCACTGTCCATGTCAGCGACAAAGATGTTGAACAAGACCGGTCCCGACACTGATCCCTGAGGGACACCACTCGTTACTGGTCTCCAGCCAGACATTGAGCCATTGACCACAACTCTTTGTGTGCAGCCATCCAGCCAGTTCTTTATCCACCGAGTGGTCCATCCATCAAATTGATGTCTCTCCAATTTAGAGACAAAGATGTGTGGGACAGTGTCGAATGCTTTGCACAAGTCCAGATGACATCAACTGCTCTACCCCTGTCCATCAGTTCTGTAGCCCCATCATAGAAGGCCACCAAATTGGTCAGGCAGGATTTCCCCTTAGTGAAGCCATGCTGGCTGTCACCAAGCACCTTGTTGGTTTTCATGTGCCTTAGCATGCCTTGCAGGAGAATCTGCCCCAAGATTTTGCCAGGCACAGAGGTGAGACTGATTGCTCTGTAATTCCCCTGTCACACCATTCCAGCCCAGGAAGGGGTGCCCGGGCCGGTCGGCAGCACCGTGAGGACCAGGAGCACGTGGGAGCCTCTTTCCAGGGCTGCTCTGCTCTGCAGTGCTGCCTCCCCGGTGCGTGGTGCTGTGCCTGTGCAGCACCATGCGCCTCCTCGCTGCCTGTGGCAGCGGCTCCACCTGTGAGTACCCTTCTCTGAATGTTTGTCTCCCTGCAGGCCTGGGGCAGACAGTGGCCTGGTCTCCTCTGGGAATTGCAGTGGTCAGTACCAGCAAAGGGTTGTGCCTTTTCTCAACATAACCAACACCCTAATACTGGGCCTGGAAGTCTTGGATTATTCCCCCTGGAACTAATCACATCTAACTCTCTGCCTGGGTGCCTGCTCTCGGCTCTCTTGAGGTGGCTGCATAGTCTGAGCGTGGCCAACTAGGGCTCCAGATCAAACCAATTGGCATCAGGTTGCCTTGAGAAGCATTAGGCTGCCCCTTTCTGTCTCCCTCTGCCTTGGCTTGAATCCACCATGATGCCATTGCTGGACACTGAAATCTCAGTTAATTGTCCAAAATGTCCATGTCCCTCAGACTGTCTGATGAGCTGGATCCATCAGTAAGACCTGCTTCTCCCTGAGCGTGTCACTGAGTGTTCCAGCTGCTCTTTCCAACTCTGCCAGGCGTGGGGACAGATCTGCTGTGAGCTGATGGCACTGGCCAGCCTCTGCTCGTGCACCTTCACCGTGTGATTTGTGAGCTGAGCTCCTCTGCTGTTCCCAGTTTCTTGCTTGCTCAATGCAATCCATGCACCTTCCCTTCCGCTCTTTAGGATTTCTCTTCTTTGTTGCAGATGAAACGTTGCTGATCAATGTCATCTGTGGGGTGGTTTCAGGGGTGATCTCCTCTGCGCTTGCCAACCCGACAGATGTGCTAAAGGTAGGAACGTGTCTGGAGAGAGCTCCTGCTGGGCTGAGGTTTGACATGTGGAAGGTGCTGCTCTCCGGTGCAGGGAGGAGCTGTCTGCTGGCAGCAGTTCTGCTCATCTGGGGCCTTACTGATGGGGGCAGAAGCAATAAACAGACTTAAGAATGGTGATGAGGTGGAGGCTGTTGCTGTCCCCATGCCCTGCAGGGAGGGCACATGGGGGGAGTGGTGTCAGCTCCAAGCTGTTCTTCCCATCACTGAGCTTGTGTATCTCATGTTTCTTTCAGATCCGAATGCAGGCTCAAGGCAGTTTATTCCAGGGGGGCATGATTGGCAGCTTCATTGACATCTACCAGCAGGAGGGTACCCGAGGCCTCTGGAGGGTGAGCGTTGGCTGTGGAGCCCCCTCCACTAGTAGCAGAACTAGCAGCTCACTACTCTTAGGTGCAGCTGTCAAGGAGAACTAGGAACCAAGGGGAGTAGTAGAGTTACAAGCAGAAGCACAGCTGTGGTGGGGATGGGGCCTGTGCCACAGCAGCCTCAGTGCTGGGCCAGGCAGACCTGGTTTCCAGGGCTGAAATGTGTCTGTGAAGTTTCAGGTACAGGCAGCAGTCAAATTTCTCCCTCTTATGGTCCCTGAAATCCTTTACAGAAGGTACCTGTGTGGGAAGGGGAGGAGGAATCAGTCAACTGCCAGTGTTGACTCAGTATTTAGAGATTATTTCTCTCTCTAGACACAGACACTGGAGATGGGAAGAGAGACTAGAAAAGATATGAGACCCTCAGTGTTGCTGATGTTTGCTGCAGACAGGACATGGTGCAGAGACAGATCAGTCTTGAGGTGGATTCCAGTGATCAAGCTAGTCATGCTGCTCTCTGGTGTGGGACAGCCACTGTCTCCTCTCTCCAGTCTCCCCTCACGCTGAGGCAGAGATGTTTGTGCTCACCAGCTCTGGCATCACCATTTGGGGAGTTTTGAGCTGGCCTGGGTTAGGCAGGAGCCCAGGAGGAGACTGTCAGGCATTGCATTAGCACAGCAGGAGCCAGACACCTGAGAAGTACTTTTACTTCTTGCAGCAGCTTTGGGTTTGTTTGGTGAGAAAGCTGCCTGTCCCGATGGCTCATACACAGCTCAACCACATGGGAGGGTTCCTCCAGTCCCAGTGACCAGGAGCTTTCTCATGGGTCTCTGGATTACTTGGATGGCATTAGTCCCTTTGAAATGGCCCAACTCCACACTGGTGCCATGTTCTCCATGTTCTGCAAGCTCATGGACATTTGCACATCTCATTCCTGGTGAGGGGTTGCTGGGCTGGCTCTCAGATAGAGGGTGGCTGGTTCCTCTTGCCTAAGCCTTGTAGTTGTTGCAGTAATTGTCTTGCCAATTCCAGATCAGTGTCCTGCTGGCAGCAACTCTTCATACGTGAAAATCGAAGTCAGAAGCTTTCACAAAGCTGTTCTGTAGCAAGGGGGAGCTGGAGCCCCACCTGCCTCCTTAGAGTTGCTCCTCTTGGGGTGCAGGATTTCTGGTGTTAAAATGGGTGGGTGCTGTTCGGTGGGGAAAGATGAGTGGATTTTAGCCCGATTCCTGCATGCTCGTGGCTGGGAGGAGGGCAGCAGTGAGTAGTTCATCTGCCTGGAGTAACGCTGCCAGGGGCAAGGAGTCCCCTTGAGCTCTGGAGTAAAGCTGGGAGACGGTGAGCTTGACCTCAGAGCTCCAGCTGCGAGGCAGGGCAGGGAGATATGGAGCAGATTGGCAGCAAAAGGCCCCTGAGAGGAAGGAGGGGGATTTGTTAGAGTAGCTGCAGCCCCCAGCTCTGTCTGTGACTGGTGCTTGTGCTCTGTAGGGTGTTGTCCCAACAGCTCAGAGAGCTGCCATTGTGGTCGGCGTGGAGCTGCCGGTCTACGACATCACCAAGAAGCACTTAATCCTGTCGGGGCTGATGGGTGACACCATCTTTGCCCACTTCGTGTGAGTATTTCCTGCTTCACTCTTCAGGCTTGACAGGGGTATGGGAAGCTGAGGGGCAAGGTGGGATTAGGGCTGAGACCTGTTCCCAGAGCCAGTGCTCTGAGCTGCAGAGAGCAGGCTTGGTAATTCAGAGGGATCGGCTGTGTTGGCTGGAGCAGTTCAGTGAGTAGCAGCAGGTATTCCCAGGGAGATCTCCCTGGAGAAGGAGCCAGGCAGAAATCATGGAATGTCAGGATGATGTCAGCTCACTGATGTCAGCCACAAACGCTGTTGCTCCATGTGCGTGCCCTGGTATGAGCAAGGCAGGAGCTGCAGATGTGTGACTGTGTAGCAGTCACCTGAAACAACTGCTCTAGCCTGAGGTCCTCGCCTGAGCCAGGGCTGTCAGCTTGCAGGCGTTGCTCTAAAAGCAACAAGGTAAAGAGAGGCTTGCAAAGCTGATGAGGCCCTGAGCTTGAGCCATGTTTGAAGTCAGCGTGCTCTGAGCAGGGGATGGGTTAGAGACCTCCCAGAGGCTTTTTTCCACCTACATTTTCATATTCTTCTGGCAGACACTTGAGGTGCTGCAGTGCTCCTGTCAGGTTTGCCTCCTGTGGGCTGAAGGTAACGAGCACTGCACCATATGTAGAGGGAAGGGACTTGCAGCTGCATGCTCCCTCTTGCTGCTGCCTTTGGCCTTCCTCCCTCCTTCCCCACCCTGAAGAAGTGTTTGCTGTGGTGAGCAGGATGTGCGCTTCTGAGAGGCCGCCTTCGGGTCTGTGTTGCCTTGATGGCACCTGGAGGCACTTGCTGGCCTGCAGTATACCCTCTGGAGACCAGCAATGGGCCCTGACAAGGGTCTACGTAAGACAAAGCTGAGCATTTCCCTTCCCCTGGAGTGTCTCTCTGGGCTCCTGAAGTTCTCTGCTTGCTTCCTGGGTGGGAACAGGCAGTGCAGCTAATGTCTATTGCAAAGTGCCTGTCATAAAATGCAATGAAAGGTGTTCTCTTGTGCTGCTGTCCTGCGTGAGCTGGAGCAGCGTGCTCAGAGCTGTTCCTGTCTCTGTTTTGCTGTGTGTGCAGTTCCAGTTTCACCTGTGGGCTGGCTGGCGCCATCGCCTCCAACCCCGTGGACGTGGTGCGGACACGGATGATGAACCAGCGGGCGATCGTGGGCAACACAGAGCTCTATAAGGGCACCCTGGATGGGCTGGTGAAGGTACGGAGGTGCACGAGGTGGGCAGATCCTGTCCTCAGGAGCCTGGGCAGCTCCCAGTGCCACCCACGCTGGTGGGAGCAGTTAGATTTGGCAGGGACAGGATGTGCTCGGTAGTGAGCGCTTTGGACTACCCAGGCCCAGAGTCACCTCCCTGAGGTCACTTGAGCCTCCTCCCAACCTCCTGGGACAGAACTCTGTCAGTGGTGCGGTTTGGTTAGGTTCATATGCTAACACAACAGCATCCCCACTGTTGTCTGCTTACTGCAGCATTTGTAAGGGTCCATTGTATGCCACGTGGCATTAAGGAGATGGGCAGAGCATGGATCTGGTGTGTCTCCTAACTCATCTCTTTTCTCCTCCTAGACATGGAAGAGCGAGGGCTTCTTTGCACTCTACAAAGGTTTCTGGCCCAACTGGCTTCGGCTTGGTCCCTGGAACATCATTGTATCCTTCAGCGTGCTGCTGAGGGGTTGTTGTGTGGACAGGGAGGGGAGAACTGAGTTCTCAAGGGGAATGTAGAGTGAACACCCCAATGGGGCACTTTGTTGTCTTCCTTGTAGCAGCCCAGGGTGTCCCCTTTGACAGACGTAAGCTGTGATGTGGCTGCTGCTGGTTCAAGTGCCAGAGTGCCCCTGGTGTGACTGCGGATGCTGTGGCAAGTGCAGGGACTTGAGGGCAGCAGCACGGTGTTCCCTCTGGACTGGGTGCTCATGAGTGTGTGGCTCGAGACTCCCTTTGCCTGAGCTCCTGAAGATGCTGTGGCTGCTGGATCAGCTTCTGTTCATGAGGAAAGCTTGGGAATGTTCTGCTGCTCCCAGACGGGTGCTGCCGTGCTGCAGAAGCAGCACGAGCTCCTCTTGGCCTCTGAAATTGTGTGTGTAATTTAAAGAAGTCTGGGACTAGAGCCCCCTCCCTTTCTCCGTGGTCTGGGCAAGCCTGGCCCAGTTTGCTTCTGGGTCAGTTTTCTCTCTCCCAGTAGCTCCTATTCCTCAGCTCTCTCCCACCTCTGCAGATGAGTTGATGGTGTCTAGAAGAGGCCTCCCCACACTGTGCTGATGCACTGCCGTCAGCCTGGTCATGCCAGGAGGCTCTGGGGCTGCTGCCTTGTGCATCTGGCTGAATTCCTTGACATTCCCTTCAGTTTTTTATCACATACGAGCAGCTGAAGCGGCTTCCATTCTGACAGCTGGCTTCAGCCCCCTGAGTCCTCTCCAGGACGTGCAGCAGAGCTTCGCTGTAGCCTTCCTTCATCTCACCATCCCGTGTCTTGCTGTGTTGGTAATTGTGGGTCTGGGCCCTCACCTCCCCAAGTGCACGGTCCCTGGAGCATGCTCTGGCTGAGGAGTACCTGGGAGGCTGGAGGCGGGTGCTGTGTGAGTCTTCGTGTCAGGGCAAGCGTTAAGGGTGTCTGAGCGGGCTTGAGCGGTATCTTCTGTGAAGATCTGGGTGCTCCCGTGGCCTTTGGGTGCTGCCGTGGGGGGTGGTTTGGCTCCTGTGTGCTGCTCGGCCGTGGTGGAGCCTGGCTGGGCGGGTGCTGGTGTGTGTCCTACCTGGAACCTCATTAAATTATTTATTGACTGGTGGCTGAGCCTGTATTTGGGTGGGTTTGCTGCAGGGACCCAGGGCGCCTGCTCCGGCCGCCCCAGGAGGGAGCAGCAGCTATTGCTAATGTTCAGCACACTCCATGGATCTTTCTTCTCCAAATTGATGTATGTAAAAGCAATCGAGGGTTCATTACAATAGAAATGTTTCTGAGCCAATTGTTAGTGATGAAACCAAGTTGCAAAACCTCAGTCTCTTACTGCTTACTTTGGGTTTGCTTTTATCATCTTTAAAGCAGGTTAAATGTGATTTCAAGCTGAATTCAGACATCCCACTACTTTAAGATGGTGGCTCTAATGTTGCTAGGGCTGAGCAGAACATCAAGCAAGATACTTTGGTCTCTTGATGTGTATGGTTGTGAAAGCCAACAGCTCTTGTGGTCCTACTCCCTGTCCTCGTTGTGGGGTGGCTTCAGTTTGGATGAAGGTCCGTGGTGAATTTCCTCCATGCAAACTGCACAAGGGATGCTCAGACAAAGCCAGCCTGGACAGTGAGAACTGTGCTGTGAAGGTGTCGCTGCCTTGTGCCAGCACATGCATGAGGAAGGGCACTCCAAGAAGCTCCTGGACTTGGGTCATGCCCTGAGCAGAGGCGGTACCCCAGGGCTGTGGCTCAGCAGGCTGTGAGGACTCTCCTCACAGTTAAACTGCACTTGCAAGCTGTCAAAAATGGGGAGCAGTGGATTCGGAGTGGACAAGGTACATACACCTCGCCTGGCCTCCCTCATGGAGAGGGTTTCTAAACCTAACAAAGTAAATCAGTACTGATGTGGTGGATAAATACAAGTCTATTTAGAGATGGATTTTACCTGCAGTTCATGACATTCTTTGGGTGTTCTTTTCTGTTCCTATACCTTCAGTCCTGGGGCCATTTCTTCTGTGCATCATTCCCATGGGATGTTGCTGTTGATTGTTGGACCGATCCCCCAGCAGATCTTTAGCAGGTGCAGTTGCTGTCCTGAGCATGTTTTTCAGGCATTGCTCAGAGGCTTCTCATAGCAGCCTCAAGTGCGTCCCCACGGCCACTTTGCTGTTTGCATTTTTCAACTGCAGGGTGCTGGTGAGAGGCTCCTCCTTCCCCTCTTCTTCCTCCCATTGGATCAGCTCCTCAGGATGGCTTTGGAGATTTCCTTCTGCCTTGCCCGAGTGGTCGCAGCCCCTGGAGATGGCCCCTTATCAAAGCTGTGATAGTGCTGGCTGTCGTAAATGCTGCCCCATGTCCCTCTGCCTCACTCTGTCAATAGTAACGGAGGTAAAGGTGTGGTGGTGGTGGTGATCCCTGTGGGTGTGGGCGCACCTCGGCCCTTTGCCAGGTGCTCCTGGAAGGTGGTCAGAAAGCCCTTCATCCCCAAAGCGTCCCACCTTGGCTGCCAGCAGGAAGGAAAAGCTGGGGCCTCCCAAGGATTCTCCATTGGTAGCTCAGTGTGCTACTGAAAACCAACATCCCAGCCCCTGCATGGCTGGGAACCTTGCTCCGAGGGTCAGAACTGTTGAGGTCCAGCATTTTCTAAGGAGGTTCTTTGCCTCAGGACATTGTAGTCACAGATTTCCAGACTCTGGGGTTTGGGTTGAAGGTCATCCAGTCCTGGCCCCCTGCCACGGGCAGGGACCCCTTCCACTAGAGCAGCTTGCTCCAAGCCCCTGTGTCCAGCCTGGCCTTGAACACTGCCAGGGATGGGGCAGCCACAGCTTCTCTGGGCACCCTGTGCCAGCGCCTCAGCACCCTCACAGGGAAGAGCTTCTGCCTAAGAGCTCATCTCAGTCTCCCCTCTGGCAGGTTGAAGCCATTCCCCTTGGCCTGTCCCTACAGGCCCTTGTCCAAAGCCCCTCTCCAGCTTTCCTGCAGCCCCTTTAGGCACTGGAGCTGCTCTCAGGCCTCCCCTTAAGGAGCCTTCTCTTCTCCAGGCTGACCCAGCCGAATTCTCTCAGCCTGGCTCCAGAGCAGAGCTGCTCCAGTCCTCACAGCATCCCCATGGCCTCCTCTGGACTCATCCCTGATGTCTCCCTGGGCAAATACAAGAGGAGGTTTAGGGGTGTGAGGCCACTGAAGCCCTTCCCGTGCTCACCTGCAGAGCAGACCCAGAGTGTTCCCTGCTCTGCAGCTCCACCCACAGTGGCCACAGTTCGTTTCTGCAGCATCTCCCCATCGCAGTGCCAGGTCCTGCCCTGTGCCTTGATCCCAGCCTCTCCCCAGCCTCTGGTTACTGTTTGACAGGAAGGTTTGAACCTGCCCGTTTCCTGGCAGCTCCAGTTTTTTCCAGCTCATGAGACAGAAGTGACTTCTTGCACTTGGTTTAAGGGGATGGAGCAGTCGCAGTCCTGGCCTGTGTGGGTCACCCACTCTGGGGGAATGTGAGGGATGTGCACTGGGTTCATAGGACTCTAATACACAAGGACACAAAAGCTTTATTTCCATGGATCTCTTTGTTACAAGTTACTATAAGGTAGATACACTTGTTAATTAGTAAAGTGTGTGAGGTGTCCCTGCCTGTGCAGGGGGTTAGAATTAGATGATCTTTAAAGTCCCTCCCAACTCAAACCATGAAACAGAATATATTTTATTTTTGTACTGTTAGTAGCAAGTGTGCATTCCATTCCAAAGTGGTGTATTATTATGGTGCTCTTGGGGTGAGCTCAATGATGGGTGAAGTCTCTCTCTGGAGATTATCCGTGTTCCAGAGCCTGGAGTCACCCCAAGCATCCCCAGAGGGTCTGAAGGATGGTATGGAGAAGTTCACGTACATGGGGAGAGGGGTACTTGGTTTGGGTGGGAAGCCAGTTACATTTACATGGATCCATAAGGGGGTAGAGGACACCAGCTCCTGACTTCTGCTTGTTAGGAGGCCCCTTTGAAGGTTATGGCAGGTTCCTGCCCTGCAGGTTATGGCAGGTTCTTTGTTCTGGGCTTACCAAAGGCACTGTAGTGTCGTAGCTGCACCTGCTGAAGACATGTCGTGTTCCCAGGCTCATGGACAACTTTACGTGTGCTTTAGCTGACATCTCTTGTCAGTTCTTTTCCCCTCTACAACCACATCACCTTTATGGCTGCTGCGCCAGGGGATCAGTGGTGTTCCCTTCGTCCCTGCAGGAAGAGGCTGCCCTGGCTCTGGCAGGGACCCCACGAGCTGTGTGACCCACGTGGACCAGTGGGGCTGGGTGCTGGGACATCCCTCTGCTTGTTCCCTGATGCCAGCACCATCTCTGCTCAGGTCCTTGGTGCTTGGCGGGGGCACAGGCACCACCCCCTGTGCCATCGTGGCAGCTTCCTGCCCAGGTGCTCACAGCTCACCTCCTGCTCCAGGGTTGTCTGGAAACGTGACTGGAGGGAGGGACCTCTGTGGGCGCAGCAGGTGCTGGGAGTGCTCCAGTCCCTTCCGCAGGGCTCTGCTCCAGCCCAGAGACACCACTGGCTGCTGCAGCACCGCCGGAGTGAGGAGCTGCTCTTGAAAGTCCACAGTGAGGGATGCCCTAGAACCGTGCTGGGGACACGCCGTCCTGGGGACACGCCGTCCTGGGGCTGTGCCCCATGGGGACAGCCATGGCTGGCTCAGCCCTCGGAGCCATCCTCGCTGTGCTGGCCTCGCTCATCATCACTGCCAATGCACTGGTGGTCATCGCTCTCCTCTGCCTCATCCAGAAGAGCGGCTCCAAGGGGCTCTATTTTGTCCTCAATCTCGCCGTTGCGGATGCCATGGTTGGCTTCACGGTCACGGGGCTGGTCATGGATGAGTTTTCTCAGCCCTTTTATCCTCCCCAGATCTTCTGCGTCCTGAGAATGTCTTTTGTGACCTCCTCTTCTGCTGCCTCTATCCTATCCCTGACCCTGATCGCATGTGATAGGCACCTGGCCATCAGGAAGCCTTTCCACTACTTCCAGCTGATGACAGGCCTGCGGGTTGGGGTGCACCTGGCGGGGCTCTGGTTGGTGGCTGCCATCATTGGCTTCCTCCCAGTCCTCACCCCAGGCTTTCAGAAGGTCACCCATCATGAGAAGTGCTCCATCTTCGGGGTCTTCCACCCCACCTACATGCTCACTGTCTTCTGCGTCGGCTTCTTCCCAGCGCTCTTCCTCTTTATTTATCTCTACTGCGACATGCTGAAAATCGCCTCCGTACACGTGCAGCACATTCAGGAGGTGGAGCAGGCAGGGTTGGCGGGCGCTGCCTGCCCGCCGGCCCGCACCACCAGTGACATGAAGGCCATGCGCACTGTGGCTGTGCTCATCGGGTGCTTCACGCTGTCCTGGCTGCCGTTCTTTGTTGCCAGCATCGTGCAGACTGTCTGTTCCGAGTGCTTCCCCACCAGGGTCATCGAGAACTACCTCTGGCTGCTGGGGCTGGGCAACTCCCTCCTCAACCCACTGCTCTACTCTTTCTGGCAGAGGGACGTGCGGCTGCAGCTCTCCCAGCTGGCTGTGGGTGTGAAGAGGATCCTCCTCCACTCGGGCGACGGCCGCCGCTTCTCCAGCAGAGGCACCAAGTCTGACCCCACTGTGTCCTGCCTGCAGCTTCAGCACTGACATGGTAAGGAGCGGCTGTCACCAGCTTTCCAGCTCATCTCCTGCATCGTGACCATGAACTTGGGGCCTGCTGGCTCTGGAGGAGGTCACGGACCAGGGTGGGACCAATCTGGATGCTAATTCCACATTGATATGGCCAAATTCCAGCCTCCCACAGCATGGCCTGATCGGCACCAGCCCCAGGTACCCCACGTTGGGTTTTGCCTGGAGAGCTCAGCAAGAGCAGCCTGGTGTCTCCCAGATCCAAGCTCTCAGCATTCATTCTGCAAGCCAACATCCTTTGCCCATTGCTGCCCAGACTGGCTCCTCCTGCCCTCCCCTCTGCCTGCAGCACCAGCTCTCTGGCAGTAGAGCCTGGGAGGATGTGTTCGTGTCCGTAAGTCTGTCCTGGACCACAAGCACTGCCAGTCGCTGCCCATTCTAAACCAAACTCGGGATCCTATTCCCCAGCCCTGTCCCCTGCAGCCATGAGGGGCGTGAGTCTGGGCTCTGCCATGGCACTGGGACCCCCAGGAGGCTCCTGCTGTACCCCAGCAGCAGCGGTATCCACATGGAAGCTGGCAGGGTGAGCAGGGCAGCACAGATGCGGGGCAGCACGGGCTGTGCCATTGCTGTTTGGCCTGGGCTCTTAAGGGAGTTAATGAGTAACTGGCTGAAGGAGCAGGAGGAACAGCTGCCTCCAAGCCTGGGAAGCCCCAGGCAGGAGCGGTGTTCTATCCCACCAGGGCTGTGGGCTGGATTTGGGACTGCAAGGGTCTCCATGCACTGATTCATCCCATGGGAGTGTTTCCATGTGCCCTGCCGTGCTGCAGTGCTGGCCAGCCTGTTGGCCCTGCCAGAGACTATAACCAGATTTCATTGATTCTCATTAAATGTCTATTTAATCCGCACAGCATGAAAATTTGTCAGGTTTCTTAGCTCAGAATGTTCCCTGATCTGAAATGAGGGTGCTGTGCTCACAAGAGCAGTTTTTTTCACCTCTGCCATCTGCTCGGCTGGTGGCCACGACTGTTCAAGGCCATATCCAGTCCTCATCCAGAAGCTGCCTTGGTCCCGAGGCCTCCTCACCCTAGAGTGAGCAGCAAAAATAAAAGTGCCATTAAACAAACTCAAATACAAGGTGATCTGTGGCATTCACCTTCCACGGGAAAGGCGGCCTGGAAACTGCCCGTCACACGGCTGATGCTGTTCCTAAGCTGTGCAACACGGAATAAGCCCAAGGGAAGGTGTCTATGGCGCAGTCCTGGCGCTGCGGGTGCGTTGGTGTCTCGTAGGTGGATCCAGCCTGAATCAGTGCTGGGACCGCCCTGTCATCTGCCTGCAGGGTGTTTGCTGCCTGTTCTCATGGAGCCTGAGCTCCGCCGGCTGTTGCTTCGCAAAGCCGCCCGCCCACCCTCACCGGTACCGCCGGAGCAGTCCCCGCCGCCGCCGGCCGTGGGTGTCCGGTGGGAATGAAGACAGCTTACACGTGCTCTCTTGCTGCTTCCCCAGCTCGCCCGCTGCTGCCTCTGCGGCGCTGTGCTGCTCACAGCGCGGAGCAGGGCCGGAGCAGCGCCCGTGCCCGGCATGGAACCAGGCAGGACGGCAGAGCCGGAGCCGCCGCCGTGCAGCCTGCAGCGACCACGGCTGCTGCACCCGCAGCGGGGATCCGGCTCCGCAGCGCCCTCAGTGCCAGAGACACGGGGCAGTGGCTGGGGGGAAGGAGCCGCTGCTGCTGGGCTCTGATGCTGGTGGGGGCACGGCACGGCGGAGGCAGAGCATCCCCCGCAGCGGAGGGAGCTGATCTGTGCCTCCTCTCTCCCAGTCCTGTGCTGGAGGGGGCGCTCCATGCCTGGAGACACCTCCAGGTCACGCTGGGAGCAAAGGGACCGTTGGACAGGGGCCTGTAGGGACAGGCCAAGGGGAATGGCTTTAACCTGCCAGAGGGGAGACTGAGATGAGCTCTTAGGCAGAAGCTCTTCCCTGGGAGGGTGCTGAGGCGCTGGCACAGGGTGCCCAGAGAAGCTGTGGCTGCCCCATCCCTGGCAGTGTTCAAGGCCAGGTTGGACACAGGGGCTTGGAGCAAGCTGCTCTAGTGGAAGGGGTCCCTGCCCGTGGCAGGGGTTGGGACTGGATGAGATTCAAGGTCCCTTCAACCCAACCAAACCCGAGTCTGGGATTCTGTGGGCGCGGGTGGGTGCCTCGGGATCAAGGGGCAGGAGGGATGGGTCGGTCCTGCCCCAGGAGAGGGGCAGCGCTGCCGCTGCTGCGCTCCAGCCCAATAAACCCCGCTGCCGCCGCCGTGCTCCAGCCCAATAAACCCCGCTGTCGCCGCTGCCGCTGTCCGTGTTAACGGGAGCCTCCCCTTCAGCAGCCGCACAGGCGCAGTCCGCCACCGTCCCGGCGTGCCCTGCGCGCAGCGCCCCGGCTTTGAGCGGCCTGACAGCCAATGGGCGGCTGTGGCGGGGGCGCGCGGAGGGGCCGGTGCGGATGTTCGCGGAGGGCGGACGGGGAGGTGCTGGGTGCGGTTCGGGACCGGGACCGGGAGCGGGCCCTGGCGGTGAGTGCGGGGCTGGGGCTGGGTGAGCCGAGCCGCGAGGTCTCGGTGTTCGGGCAGCAGGGCTCAGCCCCGCCTCGGGAGACCTCCAGGGGGAGCGGCCGCCTGGGCCTGCTGCGCCCGCGGCCCGGTGCTGCTCGCCGGGGAAGGCGGTGGTGTGGGCCCGGAGCACTGGGGCCTGCTGTGCGCTCCGCTGCTGTGCGTGCTGCTGCCCCTCAGGCCGAGCCCGCGCCCCTCATGTCCGAGCCGGCCGAGGGTTGGCTTCCGGCCGGTGCAGGCGGCTCGGGGCGGCTCTCGCTGGCCATCGCCGTCACTGGGGTCCCGAGAGCTCCGGGGACCGCTGCTGGTGGTGACGCCTCCAGAGCTCCGATGTCGCTCGGCTGGCGGGGGGGGGGGGGGGGGCTGCTCCGAGCGGTTTAAGTTGGGGTGGCAGAGTCTCTAGGCTGCCTTCTGCTGGTGATCAAATCGGCACCGGGTGGTAGCTTTGAGGGGTCGGCGAAGTGAGATGTGCTTAAAGAAGTGATTGCTGAGCTGACGGGACTGCCACACGGGGCACTTCTGGTGCTGCGGGAGGGTTGGGTTGCGAAGAACGGGGGGAAAGCGGTAGCAGCTTCTCACCAGCTGGGTGTAGCTGTCACGGTGTTAATGGTTGGGTGTAGCTGGCTGGGTTCTCGGAGCAGTGGCAGGCTCAGCCATGCCCAGCTCAGCTTATGCTGGATCCACTCACGACGGCCAGACTGTACGTAGGAGGCACTGTCAGGTTCCGGCATGCTCATACCAGTAACCACAGATACCGATGGGCTGTAGCTCTCCCACAGCCCTGCTCCATAAATATCTTTTGCCTACCATCCATATGTATGCACATGCATGCGTTTATTTGCTTTCTTCAAGCATTACCCTCAGGCTTCTTTTGTACTGTCTCAATTATTTTGCTCTCATTTTGGCTGTGTGTGCAAAGTCCAGCTGTTAACACCAATGTAGATTCACATCTTGCTGCCTAGAAGTGTTTTTGTTTTCAGTGCCAGGTGTGTTAGTCCTTATATAGGTTACCTGTTAATCCACACACTTTCTTGCTCCCCTGTACTTCACTTGCACAGCTACAATAATCAGTTTTTCCAGCCTGCAGAACGTGGGGAGTGGAAGTGGTCAGACAATGGTAAGTGCTGAGGCAGCCTGGGCAGGAGTTTATCTAGCAGACTTGCATCCTTCTCACTCCAGCCTCTCGCATCATTCCCACTC